GTCGCTAGCATATGCGGCGACCAGGAGCTCCCAGCACCAGGCCCTGACATAAGAACCAACGTTTCCTTCACATGTCTAAGGCACGTAAGCACCGCCGCGTGACCTTGAGCATGCGTAGCGGGTTTTCCCTCGGGGAGAACCCCTTGGTCTTAAGCCACCACTGTAGGGGTCTCATGTACAGCAGGCCAAAAGTAACCACGTTGGACGCGGCTGCCATCAGACCCAGCAGTCTGAAACTGCTTGACAGTGAGTGACCGGCCTTCTCTCACTCTCGCGACGAGGATCGACTCGATCCGAGCAGGAGACATACGTGCCTACATCGTGGTCGAATCCCACACCACGCCCAGATAAGTGGTTCTCTGTACTGGAGAAAGCACACTTTTCTTGGCGTTAAGTCTTAATCCCAGCTCTTTCGTGTGAGCGAAAACGATATCTCGATGTCGATCCGCCATGTGTTCTGATTGAGCTAATATCAACCAATCGTCGATGTGGTTGAGTCGTGAAAGTGTGGGGCGAGAGTGCAAAGCCAAAGGAAGAACCGGTATTGGTAGGCTTTTGCCCCCAAAAGCAAACCTCAGGAATTTCCTATGATGAGGAAGGATGCTCTTCATCCTTCCTCGGAACGGTGAAGTACCGGCTGTAGGACCCGAACTCTGCTGCGCGAGGAGGGACCACCTCGATGGCCTCCATCCTCAGAGAGTGTCTGCTTCTGTTCCATTACCAGAGCCTGCTCGGGGCCCACCAGGTTGGGAAAGGCCCCGTTGAATTGAGGCGGAGGAGAACCGAACTGGATTCTGTGGCCTCTCCCTACAGTGTGCAGGACCCACTGAGACACGTTTGACAGTAGTTTTCATGCTGCCAAATAGTCTACTAAGGGAATCAGTCTCTCGAGATTGACCTCTCGTGTAACCAGAGCGGCTAGTTCGGTGCCCTGAAGCGGCAGACCGGCAGGGAACGACCGTACTAGCTGCTCTAGAGACCTCCGTGGCGGTCGCGAGCCTCTTAGCACCGCTACGTTTCTGGGCGGTAACTGAGAGAGCGCTTGCCGGAGACCGCTGTGCCCTGGAACACCGGCAGGGTTGGCAGACCGATCTCCTGAGGGCACTGAGGAGAGACGGGCACCGTGTAATGCGGTGTACACCGCTCTTCCCCAGAGGGAGCTGACCCTCAAAAAGTCCTAGGCCTTAGGCGTCTGAAGAACCGCTTTCCGCTAGAAGCCTTCGGCCTGGGTCTAGACTCTGCAGAGTATGAGAAGTGAGGCCCCCAGAATGAGGGGCTGGAGCACGGTAGGTTGGGACTCCTCCCGCCCAGCAGCCCCTGCTGACCGCCTCAACCTCCTCAAAGGAAGAGAGGTAAACTCGTGCTCTCACTCGAGAAAGTTTATTTATTTATTTTTTATCCCAAGTGCCCCTGTATATCTAACTTCTTATAGTCAGATAAATACTTCATTTTATTCCTCACAATTAAATGCTGTCAAACAACCAGAGGAGTAAATACGGTCTGGTGAGTAAGATTCTCATCAAAAACCGAATGATGTAATACAAGCGTTGCCTCGGCAGTGCGCGAGCCGCTCAGTCACACAAACAACGTCAATCTCCTCAGAGAAAGATGGCCGCATCAGCAAGCTCTGACTCAGAGGGGGAAGAACCGCAGCGCGGGCTTCCAAGCCTCGTGAACGAGCTCTAGATTTAGGGAACACGGGTGGAGATAGGACAAGCCATCTCCAACCCATCCACCAGATCATGTGCGATCCCCGCGATCTCAGTCGCCGCCGTGCCTCAGCAGCAGCGGGACCGCAATCGCAAGATCACAGGCACGGTCACACTCCTCGGAGCGTGCCCGGCAAGAGCGGAGCACTTAACAAAGAGCACGGGGGCGCCCGCCCCCGCATCCCGGGGGGGGGGGGGGAGTACCGCAGCGCGGGCTTCCAAAACCCCAAGAGCGGGCGCCGAATCTGGTGGTTAAGGAAGTAGATAGGGACGCGCCCGTCTGCATTTTTGTCTCCTCCTCCAGTTTCCTTCTATTAACACAGCTCAGTCATTTGGGACCCCTCTTCCTAGATGTGACTCATTCCCCGCCTGCTTTCCCTCTGTGCAGTCGTCCCGCATTCCCACACACCCCGACATCTCACCAGTGTCATGTTCACAGACAGAGAGCTCTGCACTAACCCAGTACTCCCACCTGTCCTCCACCTCCCCTATACCCACACAATGTCCCGCTCCAGTGTTCGCGCCTCCAGTTCCCACAGTTCACCAGTACCAGCAGGCCTACTCTGTTGCTCAGCAGCCCACTGTAAACTCCATAGCCACTCTCTCCCAACATTCCCACAGTCAGACCACACCCACTGTGCACCAAAGCCCCCACCCCTCTCCAAACCCCGCCTCAATGTGTGTCGGAGTCCCTCCCACTAAACAAGCTCCGCCCACCCGTGTAGGGTATGTCAGTGCCTTAAAGGGATAGTTCACACAAAAATTTAAATTCTGTAATCATTTACTCGCCTGCATGTCATTCCAAACGATGTGACATTGTTTGTCTTTCTTTTCGAATACATTCATGAAACGTACTCCTACTGGCACACTGCATTGAGTCTACTGAACATAATATGCATTGAATGGTTACCGAATTTTTGAATCACAACAGTTTTCAGAGGAAATATTTACCCGCGTACTAATTCAGTTTATAAAACGGAGAGTTCCGGTGCTTGATTCTGATTGGCTGAGCCGCGTTCGAAGCTGTTGTAAATTACTCTACAAACATACACATTTGTTTACATTTGTGTGTTGCTCGGCAACCACTTTGTTGGAACCAGAACTGTTTCTGAGGAGCTACATTGTTTGGTGGAAGAATACTGTCTTTATTAATATCATTACACTTTATTTGATCCGTTTTATTTTGTGAAACCTTACTACGTATATGGAATAACCGTTTTATAAAAGCAATAAGCCCCGTGAAGCTGTGGTTTACAGTGAATTTATAATGGCTAAAGGGGTTTTAGCTAACAACGCCCCTTAGCTGTTATAAATTCATTGTAAACCACGGCTTCTTGGGGCTTATTGCTTTAATTAACATTCAAATTCAAATATTGTGAGTGTTTAAGTCATACTGTCCCATTTTTTGACTACAGATGTGAAATTTCATTGAAATAGTTTGAACTTGACCTATTCACGTATTTTGAAAAATCGTTAATTTTTCAGGGAACCCAGCACCAAACTGTACATGTGGACCAGAACTCTTCAGGTAGCTCCGATCACGCCCGTGTCTCTCAGATGATGACACACTTGACTCCAGCTCCTGCCCAGAGCTTCAGCTTCCCGTCCCACAGCAGCCATAATGTGCCTCAGCCTGCTACAGTACCGCAGCTCTCGCCCTTCAGACCCTTCCTCGACACATTCGGCTCTGCTGTGACCGTGGACCAAAACCAGCCTCATCAGCACTCCAGCCAAGCCTCTTTACCCCCCGTCCTGCATGCTGGAGCCGGTGCCAGCCACCTGGGCAGCGGCAGTGCTACTCCAGTGCAGCAGCACAGCACCAGCGGCTGTGGAGGATCCTCCACTGAAATATTCACTGAGGTGACACTCTTCACTTCAGTATCTATACAGTGACAACATCAATAGGAATAAAGGCTCTGTATTATCGTGCTGCCTTTAGAGATATCTAATTTTGGATTAACTCAAAGGCAGCATCTCATTCTGCATCTTAGTGGAAAAGGCAATCCCATAACACAACGACAAGCTCCAAACACCATTAGTGATGTGTACAATACATGCAGCGGTCACTTCAAGGAAGTATTATTGTCGTTTACGATCATGTGATCATGAGTGTCATTTTGTAACCAGAGGATCTTTTTCTTACCTCTGATGCTCTCATGCACCCAGGATTGGCAGCAGAAATGCTTAAATCTTTTCTTATTTTCATATTGGCTTGTTTTTACCAAAGTCCACATGGACAGACAGACTGTATGTACATTGTAATAAATTTGATTTGCATCATAAATCTTTACAGCTATAAACTATTTTGATACTGCGTTATCCTAGGTAATATTCTGTTCAACATAAAGTGGCAGTGATGCATAGATTTGCGTGGGGTGCGCCAGGAGATATCATAGATTATAAATGGAATTAATTTATTGGTTTAGTCCAATTAATGGACTGTTTTACAAAATGTTTGCGTGTGCTGTGTATTTTTGTATTTATATTTAGCCTAGCAACATGCAATCTCTAGTGGCTTCATGTACCATTGCCATTGAATTCATTGCCTTCTGTGCACTTTAGGAGCATGTTCCTGATAAACAGGCAGCACCAGCTGGGTCCACTTATGACAGGTTGGATTCTCTGTTCATAGATCAGTGCCATATTCTCGTTTTCATCTTGCCTTATGCATGCAGAAGCTCAGTGATTGGGTCTTTGCTCTTTTGCAGTATAAACTCAGATGCCACAGCCGGTAAAGAGGTGAGCGATGGGAACGAGGGTTCCAGCAGGGCTCGCAGTGAATCACGAGTGCGAAAACCCAATCGCAAAACGTCCCGCACACGCCTCCGCCAAGACAAGATCAACAGACCCAAACTCACCATGATCAAAGTGAGTCTGGATCTCACGGTGAAACAGATGCAGAATGTCCAAACATGATCTTAAAGAGATAGTTCATCCAAAAATTAAAAGTACTCCGTGATTTACTCACCCTCAAGCCAGTCTAGGTGTATATGACAAAATCTCGGCCTCCATTCATTCCCATTATAAAGCTTGTAAGAGCCAGGACATTTTTTAATATTACTCTGATTGGATTCGTCTGAAAGAAGAAAGTCATACACTCCTAGGATGCCTTGAGGGTGAGTTAATCATGGGCTAATTTTCATTTTTGGGTGAACTATCACTTTAAGGTGCTAGCTGTCAAAAATAAAGTGATTTGTGAAGTTTATAATTGTTTGCGTGTTTCATGGGTTAAAGCTCAGACCTGAGTTCTGGTTTGGACATTAGAAAACCTAAAATAAATAGACACGCTTCTGATAATGTTGACAGAGTTCTTTCAGAGGTATTACGATTGTAAATAGTAAGATCGTAATTCATTCATTTATTTATTTTCTTGACGTTCCTGTTGTCATATTCTCTGTGACTGTGGCTACAGGTGTGTGACACAGGAGACAAGATGGTGGAGTGTCAGCTGGAGACTCATAACCATAAGATGGTGACGTTTAAATTTGACCTTGATGGAGATGCTCCAGAGGAGATTGCCACATATATGGTGAGATCTTCACCTCTACTTTCGCTCCCCCTCCCCATATGCCCTTCTCTTCTTCTGACAATCTCCTAGAGGTGATGTGTTTCAAACTCCTGGGCTAAAGTTTGTGGAAGCCATTTTTCTTAAGTAAACGTGGTGGGATTTGGAGTAGGAATGGGCTAAAAGTAAAGGTCGACCGATTTTCTATTTTTTTTTTTTTTCTTCTTCTCATAAAAGTGAGTTTGAGTAAATTATTGCAGGGTACAAGATAGTAATAGTAGTAGTATCCTAATTCAGAGTAATAATACATGGCTCAAAACTCAAGCACCTTCTCAAAACAGTTTTGAAGCATGCTTTTTATTTATGTTTGCTGACAGACACCAGTGTTTCCCACAGACTTGCAAATGCAAATTCATTCTCCGCCAGCAGGAGGTGCTGTTGGAGCGGGAGATATAGCGGTTTCCCCGGTAACGGCTCTAATCTAATAAGCACTGTGCTCACAAACGCTGCTTTATCAGGCATTACAGGAAAGACTACAGGAAAGACGAAATGAAAATGACATCGAAGCTTTTCTGAAGACGGTCGGTTCTTTTCAAAGATACATTCATAAAAACACCCGTGCTGCATTTTAATTTTGAAACGTGCAGTGCAGTTTATTCAACGAAGTATAAGCCTTTTGGGAAATCTATTTGTGGCGGTGACGAGCCGCCACAAATAATTCAATGTATAGGAAACACTGGACTCTGCTATAAGTCAAATGGCCAAGTGGTAACAAAAATAAAAGAGTTCACACATATTACACCGCCTGCTGCTCATAACTGCATAAGAGTGCACCGGCCACGAGCGATGACATCGTGGATGCTATTGTCAGACCTACACACACAATTCATGAGGAAAGTTAACGTGCACATTATAATCAGCCCAGACGTTTCATCTGAATTGCATGTTTCTACTTTCACATGCAAATGACTTGTTGCACTTATGAATATGATAACTTTCCGGCATCAATTCTAGTAGGGTAAAACGTAATTACGCTTTCGAAACGGTCTGTTTTGCCCTGCCATCATTAGCTGATGCTGTGTGTGAACAAGAAGCGGCTGTAGAGTGTGAGTTGCTCCATCTCACGCAGACAGAGAGAGATTCTTCGGCGTTCCATAACAACACTTAGCTGCCCGCAGATGCACCTGCCTATAAATCGGCCTAATTTGCAGCATAATCGGCCGATGCCGATTAATTTTAAAAAATGCCAAAAATCTGACCTCTAGCTAAAAGTTTTACAAATGTGTAAAACTAGAGTAATGAAATAACCAGGTATTATTGCATGTTTAATCACATAAATTAAGTACTTTTACATTTTCATTTCATTAAAAACACAAAACAAAAAAACAACATAAACAGTGAAACTTAAATGATTGACTCTAAATTCTCATTTCTTTTCTCATCTCAAATGCACAATTCTGTGGTTAGTTGCATTACGTTAATTGTATTTAGCAAACAACACATCAGAACACAACTGAGACATTTTTTGGAGCAAATCCACTGGTTCAGAACCACCGCATTAGTGCATTATTGACATGTGAAATGTTGTTCATGTTCAGTGTTCCTTATATATAACTCACTGAATCTTAATTGGGCATAGTGTATCTGCTTGAGCTGGTTTTCTTAATGAGAGAAACAGATGAGTGGGCTCAAAGTGCTTGCTCTTGTTTCTGGTCCTCCAGGTTGAGAATGAGTTTATTCTGTTGCTGGAGAGGGAGATGTTCATTGAGCAGCTGAAGGAGATCATGGATAAAGCTGAGGACATTCTGAATGAGGACGCTGAGGGTGAGAATGTGTCTGTCCAGACCTCACCGCTCCATCAGACACCCGTTGCAGCAGACTCCGGCACGAAGGTCTTACTTAATACAGACATGCTTTAGACATTTTACTATATTATTATATATTATATCTGTTTTTTTTAAATAAATAAGCGCAGAATTGAATCAGCTTTGTGTTGCCAGCAGTGATCGTGTCAAGAATGAGCCACATTTCCATGTGTGTAGTGAAATGTGGATGTTTAGGAAAGTGCTGAGTTTTTGTGCCATCTAGTGGTTAAGAGGAAAATAAAATCAAATGCACCCTACTGTGTAAATGTAAATGTGAAGTGTGTCATTTCTGTGCCACTAGCATCACCAAACAGAACTGAACTTGTCTTCTGTATTCAGGGGTCAAAACCTGAGCGCACCCAGTCTGACCAGCTAGTCTACAAACAGAATGGTAAGACCACGACATATCTCACTGTAGCTACTGTAGAATTGGCGTTTAACCCACAGTCTGCCTTGACTTGCAGTGCTTCACACCGGAAAGCGCTGGTTCATCATCTGTCCTGTGGCTGAGACGGCCGCGCCTGACAGAGAAGAGGCCGTCTCCAGTAATTCAGCACACAATGCATTTTTAGCATTAACTCATATGCACTTGCAGATGATTATCTCACACTATTACTTGTGTTTTACAGACCCAGAGAGCTCCTCTACATCTCAAATGCAGGATGTCAACACAGCCAGTGCCAAACCTCTGCAGAAGCGGCCATCATTGCTCTCTGAGGTCACTCCGTTGACCGAGGGCTCTCAAGCTGCCTGTGCGGCGGGTGTTTCTGTGGTTTCTGACATCCCGTGCTGCCCCCTTGTGCCTCCTGTTTCACTCGATGTGGTGGCTCAGAAAGCCATGGAGGGCCCTCAGCAGCCCGTCGCCCACACCAGCAGCCCCAGCTCAGAGCCGCCCGTGAGCCAGACCCAGCCCGTGGTGCTGCAGCAGCCCTTTGCCACAGCCACTCCACAGGCTTCTGTCACCAGCGGCCAATCACATCTCCAGAGCCCCACCCATCAGCCCCAGAGCCCCACCTATCAGCCTCAGAGCTCCACCCATCAGCCTCAAAACTCCACCCATCAGCCCCAGAGCTCCGCCCATCAGCCCCAGAGCCCCCCCCACCAGCCCCAGAGCTCCACCCATCAGTCTCAGAGCCCACTCACCAGCGGCCAATCACATCTCCAGAGCCCCACCCATCAGCCCCAGAGCCCCACCTATCAGCCTCAGAGCTCCACCCATCAGCCTCAAAACTCCACCCATCAGCCCCAGAGCTCCGCCCATCAGCCACAGAGCTCCACCCATCAGCCCCAGAGCTCCACCCATCAGTCTCAAAGCTCCATTCATCAACCTCAAAACTCCACCCATCAGCCCCAGAGCCCCGCCCACCAGCCCCAGAGCTCCGCCCATCAGCCCCAGAGCCCCGCCCACCAGCCCCAGAGCTCCACCCATCAGCCTCAGAGCCCAACGCATCAGCCCCAGAGCCCCACCCATCAGCCTCAGAGCCCCACCCATCAGCCCCAGAATGCCCCGCAGGTGCAGCCGGGCGAATCAGATGGGGAAGGGCCGCCCAGGCTGGAGTTTGCAGACAGAACCATAAAGACTCTGGATGAGAAACTGCGAAACCTTTTGTACCAAGAGTACCACCCCTCGCAAACCGCAAGTTCCGCCTCCGAGCCGCCCGGATCACCTCAGCTGTCCGACAGCCAAGGCAGTGATGGAGCCGTAAGGAATGCAGAAAAACTGGTACAGTCAATCCTCCTCACATTCACAAACAATATGAGCTGTCAGGATGTTTTGTTAAGAATAATTGCTAAAATATTCAAGGGTCACTCTACAAATCTTGATTTTAGTAACACATTTTTAGTTACTACATTGATTTGCTCTGAAGTCTCGGATACATTATTTTGATACATACTTCTTTTGAGTTGGACGTGACGGTAACTGTGCTCCAGTCAGTTCAGTTATTTAACTGAATCAAGTTATTAGTGCTGATTCATGAGACTTTTTGACAGATTTATCAAGAGAATAGGCTCATAGTAGCAGTTCATTCATAAGTCACGATTCATTCGTTAATGAATCTGGCCACACTGGTCACATATATTGTGTGTTATGTGCAACTAGCAGGAAAGGCGCAAAAGATGTCTGGTCGTCTTGTTGTCTTTGTCATACTCTTTTCTTACATCATCTCATTCAAGTCAGACTGCAAACTCACAACTCAGAAAAATCATTTTAACCACGGTGTGGTAGATTCAGTAGTGGCATAGCACCGTCAAATAGTGGAATCCACTTTGCGTAAGATTTCAGATGAAATTCAAAAAAATCTTTAGTCTTTTTAATGGAACCAGTTCTGAATAATAACCAGTTTTTATACATCAACCCTGTTACCATCATTAAAATACTATTCCGTGAATAAAAGTAAATGTCTTTTTTCCTTGTTTTTTAGTAACATTATCTTATGTTTTGTGTGTTAAAACCTGTTATACTTGATTTTCTGTAGTGAACAATTGATTGTTGAAAACTGGATATTTGTAGAAATATAGTTCTGTTTATTAGCACCAGAGGAGTAGAAATGGCCAAATAGACTGTACAACTGTCAACCGGTTACCTTCAATCTGGTTATTCTCTGAAGAAATAGTTATATCCCAACTCATCCATTTTCAATAATTTTGCTGGATGGCAGAGTGCAGTGCAGAAGCACCTAAAAATATTTCATAATGGCCCTGAATCACTTGTGTTTGTATATTCCTCAATTTTTATTTGCTTTGGACAACATTATTTGCTAAATGAATACAGTTGATGTTATCTAAATAATGTGGCTTTAAATAGCTATTTGTGAGTTGTGCAGGTTTTAGGTCTTGGATGCTGTTTTTTTTAGTTTGTTGATGTTAGTTCTGTGGGGAAAATAATTTTTATGTTATACCATAATTCTCAGGTTTTCTTTAACGTTGTCTTTGTTTCTTGTAGCCTCAGATTCCAGAGAGGTCTGACAGTCTCGGGACCTTGAGTGATTCCGCTGTTGCCCGTAAGTGTGTGTGTAAGCATGCTAATCCAGATTCTGGATATATACATATACTGCAGACTGCAAGGAATTGTCACAATTGACAGCTGTATTATTGTTGTGCGTCTTTCTTTTCTATTTTTCCAAATGGTGATCAGCCTTCAAAAGACTTCTGACCAGAAAAGACTCCGGGGCCGCTTCTGCTACACACACCTCTAAGAGCAACTTCCAGGTTACCAGTGATTTTTAAAAAACTATATAAATTATATAATGTGCTTCTCTGAAATGATAGGTCACAGTTTGATAGCGTTCTGTGTCCTGTAGATTGAGCCGACAGATTCAGATGTGTCTTCTCATGATGGTGGAGGAGATCATGTGATTGATTTTGAGTCTGTTCCTGTAACTGAGAATGGACACAGATCCACATCAAAGTCACAAAGCAACCGTTGCTCAGCACCTCCTGACTTATATCAGGTTTGTCTGAAGCGCAGGGTTCGTCTGAAATAGCATACTGTATACCAGTATATTATGCACAGTAACACCAGTGTAACCCACATATGTTTTTGTCAAAATGTGTAGTGTTCACTTGACCTTTCATTTCCAGTGTGACATGAGAGGAATGACCATCATGATTCAACATCTCTTTCCTGACTCGTTATTTGATCAGACTGTCAGAAGTTAAGACCCACTGAATTAAACAAGTAACATGATGAGGTCATGTGACAGCAATGTTGCACACTACTTTTTGGAATGTTACTGTTTCACATACTGTACAGTATTCCATTCCAAACACAGAATCCATCAATTAAAATGTTTTATTTATGTAACTATTTACTTGATTTTAAGTATTTATTTTTTGTATTTGCATACATTTTGTTCTTTTGTCTGACATTGCCATTCATTTGCATTTGTTTTTTCAGGACACAACTACTTCCTTTCCAGAGGCCAGACCCACAATGCCTTGCGCTCAGAGCTTGCTGTCAGCGGATGGGACAGCGCAGTACCTGTCCTCTGACACAGGAGAGGAGGGTCAGAGCGAGACTTCGTCTGTTAAGCCCACTTCTCCAGCTCCTGCCCTGTCAGAATGCAGCGGCGGGGACTTCATGAAGCGGGCGGTGGCTTTCCTCCGGCACTCGGGTCACAGCAGCAGTGTCCAAAGCTCCGACTCGCCCCCTTGTCCTCTGGTGAACGGACACACCCCCTCAGTTAGCGGCCACGCCCACTCCGCTTACGTCAGCAGTGATAACGACTCTGAATTTGAGGACACTGATATGAAACGAGAGCTGCAGAAGCTGAGAGAGAAGTGAGTAAAGCTCAAAGCGTTTCAGTGAAAACTGCCTCACAAAGGCCTCATTTACCGCCACTCACCCTCCTTCATTTCTTAACATAGGTAATACACTTTTTGCTAAATAAGAGAATGAAAACCATAACAAAAAGTTTTATGTCTGCAGGCACATGAAGGAGATCTCCGAGCTTCAGGCTCATCAGAGAGGCGAGATCGAGCAGTTGTATTCTCGGTTAGGTCAACCGGTTCCTCCCAGCATGGGCTTCTTGCATGCAGTGCCGCCTACAGGCCGCCGCCGCAGAGCCTCCAAACACAAGCTGAAGGGAAGCCGACTGCTCAATCCCATGGTGCAACAGCTTAGGAACAACCGAAGCAACAGCTCTAGTATGTATGTGAAAGTCTGTGTGGGCTGGAGTTAGGGCTGCAACAAACAATTATTTTGATAATCGATTAATCTAACGATTATTAGAATGATTAATCGACTAATCATCGATTATTTCGCTGATTAATCAGTAGACATTTATTGAATATTCAGCTTTTGCAATTAGTTAAAATATTGAGTTATACATATTCTAACAAATAAATTAAGGTAATCACTTCAGCTTTTATTATGTAATTACAGTTATACAATTAATTTATACAAATAAATATATTTGGCACACAAAATGAGATGGCAGAGAAACTCTCTTATTCATTTAATTAGCTATATGAAAAAGTAGCTGAATGACATCATTCTGCCTAAAATATATTTTTGTAAGTCATATGGATAAGAAAAAAAAAAAAAGTTAAGTGATAAGACCTTTTTATTTTTGGATAAACTAATATTCACAACATAATCTCTTAAAATACCTTATAGGGTTATGATAATCAAAACAGTCCTGAGCTAGATCAAGCTTTGATCTCTGCAAACCAAACTATAACTTTAATGAAATGTTTTTTTTACCCACTAATAAAAAGATTGTATCATTTGCAAGCTCCACACTGGAGAGCTGCTTTATAACAGAAAATCAAGTTGTAATTCTAACTGAAAGCAACGCTGACTCTGGTTTTTCATGTTTAATAATACTGTAAAGCTGCTTGATTTAAAGCTATCTATTGCATAAAGTACTATATAAATAAACGTGACTTGACTAGACTTTTCTTTACTGGAGTACCGAACTGCAGAGCTCGAGCAAACATCCACATCACTGTAATCAGATGCGTTTTAAACTGCTGCTTTCTCACCGCTGTCAGTTTTTGATGTGTTTATTTTGTTATTGAGAGAAAAGTGCGCAGTATATATTTACATATTCATCCAAACGCCGCTCAGCAGCCTCAGTTCTCTTTCAGCCATATGTTTCGGTGTCTCACTATGGGATACGCCCCTTTCAGGTATTCCTTAGAAGCCCAATTCTATTACGCCAGCCCCAATAGGCTGGCAGACATGACGTTGCGTCAGGGAGTGGCTCCCTCCCCTCGGTATATAAGGAGCGATGCAACGTCATTACGACATTCAAAAAACTCTTCTCACTTCACACCAGAAGCCTACCCAACTCAGATAGCCATCAACTAGTCTCCTCGCTGGTTGCTGGTTGGTAGTGTACTATAGTCGATTTGTTGGCCACCACGCCGCTTTCGCCTACCTTCAATCGACACTCCAGCTCATTGTTAGGGTCATTCAGTAACGCAACTATGGCTGCAGCAATGCAGACTACCCTAGCTAGAGAGGGAGATCCACGGCTTTGCTCATGCGGAAACAAGATCTCATGCAAAGACACACCAGGTCTGCTCTGCATGTTTTGGGCTGATCGAATGTCCCGGCTCCTGTGAGCACTGCGCGCGTTTCACCATGAAGAGCCTCCGTCGCAGGTTAGCACGACAAGCTAGCTTGTCTGGCCAGGATCCCCTCATGTCAGCTAGCCCCACTCCGGTTTCCACCCCTCAGGTATCCATTCCTGTGGAGCTGCCCATCACGGCAGCTCTATCATGGGGTGAACAACTGGATGTTTGCGCCCCTCTGCCAAGTGTCCTCAGCACGGATGAGGAGGAGGAGGATGCGTTTGAATTTGAGGAAGAGGGGCATTCGGATTTTCTTCTCTCTGAAGAGGAGGAAGATTTAAAGGATTCCCCTTTCCTTCCCCCTGCGCAACCGGCACAACCCCTCGCTACGGCGGGATCCACAGGGTAGTCGGGCGGGGCAACATCCTTTCTGCTTCTTGGCGTTGATTTGCAAGATGTGTGCGAACTCGCAGCAGAGAAACTAAATATTCCGTGGCCGACCGTAGTAGCTGAGGCTGCAAAGTCGCGCTATGAGGGTAAGAGGCTGCCGAGAGCTAAACGGGCAGTGAGACAACTCCTTCCAATCTTTCCAGAGCTTCTGGAAGAGGTTTCCGTCACCTGGAAGGACGATCCTTTTACTAGTAAAATGCCCGTGCAGGGAGGATCTGCACTTGACGTGGAGGGGATGGAGAAGGAGGGCCTTCTTCGCATGCCCCCCATGGAGCCTTTAGTCGCCGCGCATCTGCATCCAAAGCACACGGCGGCCGCGAATCCTACATTGCCATCAAAAGCAGACCGCTTTCAGTCAAGCATGACGGAGCGCGCTTACAAAGTAGTCGCTCTCTCAGACCGGACCATGAAAGCCATCTCTCTGCTCACCGCATACCAGCCGGAGCTGCAAGACGAGGTGTCTGCCACGCCAAGTCAGGCACAGTGGGAGGAAATCTGTATCATCACAGATCTCTCGCTCCGTCTTCAGAGATGTGCCGTTCAGACTGCGGGCAAGGCCATGTGGCAATGGTCATTCAGGAGAATGGCTTAATTTGGCTAATCTCTCCGATAGGGAAAAGGAAGCCATTTTAGATGCACCGGTTGTCGCAGAAGGCATTTTCGGCTCAGCGCTGACACAGATGTTGAAGAGATGCGAGGAGAAGAAAAGGGATGACGAGGCCTTGCAGCTCTGCATGCCAAGGAAGATGCAGACTGCGCCTCCTCCACCTCCTTGGCAGACCTTCGCACAGGCTACAGCTCGCCCACCCCCCAGCTTTCGTATTCCTAAGCGACAGAGACCGTGGGTGAATGCAGCGGCAGGTCAGAGTGGCGCAGCAGAGCAGAAACCCGCCTGGACCAGGAAAAAGTATCTGCCCGCAACAGCTCAGACGAACCAGCCGGCTCCTCATTCTACCCAGGTGATGAGGAGGAAGAAAAAGGCCATTTAAGGGGGTCTTCCTGAGGGAAGGGGTCTCACAGCCCCCCCGTTCGCTAGTCCCCAACCCTTAGTTGTTCAGCGTTCAGCAGAAAGCAAGTTCAGATGTTTACGGATGTTCTGTGGGGAAATCAGAGCCAAGTTGTGCCAGGGGATGCAGAGCAGTGAATAGAACGAGAGACTATGCAGTGGTGCACACCCACCCACCAGTCACAAGCACTTAACATGCTCAAAGTTCAATAAAGTTTTCACTGTTTCCCCAACAAATGTTGCAAAACATAATGCCCCAAAAAATGTTGCAAAACACTTTATCAGAACATAGCATAACACCACCTCAGGGAGTCATCCGAATTTGGTGAAGGTGGTGAGCCGGAAAAAAGGGACTCAAGCTCTCCGTCCCATATTAGATCTTCATGCTCTGAACAAATACCTAAGGAAGTACAAGTTCAGAATGCTCACCCATTCTATACTTCTGAAATTGGTGCGCCCAGGCGATTGGTTTACCTCAATCGACCTGAAGGATGCATATTTTCACATAAGAATATATCCACCCCACAGGAAATTTCTGAGGTTTGCATTCCTTGGTGTGGCATATGAATATCTAGTCCTTCCCTTTGGCCTGTCCCTCAGCCAGAGGGTATTCGTGAAATGCACAGAAGCGACCCTAAATCCGCCCAGGGAGAAAGGCATTCGTTTCGCTACCTACATAGACAATCGGAGCACAAAGCGAGAGATCACACAGCCATGCTCCTAGAACATCTATAGAAACTGGGATTAAAATTAAACACCGAAAAGAGTGTTTTAGTTCCCAGACAGTCAATAACGTATCTGGGGTTGTTACTGGACTCAGTGATATTTAGAGCGCGACTGTCAGTGGAGAGGGTAATAACATTTATGCAATGCCTGGCCGAATTTCGGAAAGGGAACAGTGTTTCTCTTAGCACATGCCTCAGACTATTAGGTCTGATGGCCTCAGCTCTAATAGTCATTCCCCTAGGCAGACTATTTATGAGAGAGTTTCAATGCTGGGTAGCCTCTTTGAGACTGGACCCATTACAGCACTCCCAGAGGAGAGTAAGAGTGACGTCAGTGGCTGTCTTAGCACTGTGTCACTGGCAACGCCCGTGCTTTCTGGTGCAAGGGGTACCTATGGGCGTTGTCCAGGCCAGGAAGGTCATAACGACGGACGCGTCGTTGTCCGGCTGGGGGGGCATTCACGAGGGCAGGGCAGGGAATGGGAGATGGGGTCCCCACCTGAGCCACTGTCACATAAACTACTTGGAAATGCTAGCTGTCTTTCTGACATTGAAGCATTTTCTTCCTTTTCTGAAAGGACATCGTGTTCTTGTGAGAACTGACAACACTACAGTTGTGGCTTACATAAACAGGCAGGGAGGTCTCAGATCACTCCCCTTACACATGTTGGCATGCAAACTGATTTTGTGGAGCAATGCCAGTCTTTTATCCCTGAGGGCGACGCACGTACAAGGGATCATGAACTGGTGTGCAGATCTGCTGTCCAGGGAAAGCCCCTTTATGGAGAGTGGAAGCTGAACATGGAAGTGGTCGGCCAAATTTGGAGCATATACGGTAGAGCGACAGTGGATCTGTTCACGTAGCAGGACAATGCTCAATGCCCTCTGTTCTTCTCTCTGAAAGATCAGAGCGCGCCTCTGGGAATAGATGCACTGGTGCACGAGTGGCCTCGCACTCTCCTGTATGCGTTCCCACCGATAGCGTTGATATCCCCAGCTCTTC